GCCCGTGAGCCATGGCCGCTGAGCCTGCGCGTCCAGAGCCTGTGCTCCGCAACGGGAGAGGCCACAACAGTGAAAGGCCCGCGTACCACAAAAAAAAAAAAAAAGAAAACTTAAAAAAAAAAGTTTTTTTACCACACTATTTAATTCCATGTCCTAAAATTTGTTTTATAGGATTTAATTCTTTAAGAAAAACAAGAAGAATTTTTAAAAAGTAGAGTAAGAGGACAGTAGGGACTAGAAAACCCTTAAACTAAATAATCAGAACCTAGATGATTGGAAATTGACTGTATGTGCATTAATAATATACCCTAACAACCAAGTATCCTGGCCATGATAACCCAACTACTAATATTTCTACAGCCCAATTTATTTTCTTGCTTTTAGGAAGTCTAACATGAAAATCCAGTGATTAAATCCTTTTTCTCTTTCAAAAATAATAATTAGGGATAATTTACTTTATCAAAGGATGTCTTGATTTTATAAAGTCTTAAAACAGTATTCATTTAAAATAGTATGAGATCCATTTAAAATAGAACAAATGGGATATATACCACCTCCATTATAAGAATGCTAGGGTTGCACTACATAAAAGGAGGTTACCTATATCATTAACTGGCAAACATTTTCTCATAAATAGCCAAAGAGTAAATATTTGGGGCTTTGCAGCCCATATGGCCATTGTCACAACTACTCAACTCTGCACTGAAGCATGAAAGCAGCCACAGACAGTAAATGGGCATGGCTGTGTTCCAATAAAACTCTATTTGCAAAAACAGGTGAAGGGCAGAATTAGACCCATGTCCAGCAGTGAAAGCGCCGAGTCCTAACCACTATACCACCAGGGAATTCCCAACAATGCCCTTTATGTCGTTCTTATCTATGCCAAAAGTCTTTAGAAAATTGGGAGTCATAGTCCAATTTCACATGGGGATTTTGCTATTGTTTCCAATTCTCATTTTGGCTCATCTGGAAACTGACTGCTGGTTTCTACTTACCCCATAACTAATGGATTCCCCACTCTCATCTCTCTGACTACGTCTCTTTTATGATGAACTATTATTTCTGGAGAGATTGTATTTTTAAGAAGTTAAAATGTAGAATTAACAGTCTTTCCGAAAGTAATTCTAATGAAAAAGAATATAGCTCAAAGTACACTATATTACCCTATATTTGAACCATATTTTTTTAGTCCTATGTTTCTCAACCAATAGCATGCGGGGGTATACCAGAAGGTGTAAGTCACCACAAGATAAATATGGACTTCCTGGAGCATCAGTTTACCATACATTCACATACAATATACACACATATAAATTAAATGGAAGTGGAGTCATTTGTATACATATTCCCTTCCCTTTGCTACTATGGGTGCTTTCATAGTGAAGTTTGAGAAGCACTGCTTTGCACGCTTGGTTATAAGAATGCTTCTCCATTACATCCTTAAAATGTGATTTCCAGTTGTATATGCTTTGTCTGCATCAAAAAGTACAGAAGAAAGTATCTAGCATGGTCATTCTAGAAAAAAGCATGTTTAAACTGTTAAAATGTAACAAGTTAAACACTTTGACCAGTAACTGGGCTAGTCTACATTAATGAACATTCATTCAATCAATTAAAGCTGACTTTGAATAAGTCTCACTTGATACGTTCAGGCATTTGCCCTGGCAAACCAACACTGTACCATGAACAATTGGATATTTAAAATGCTAAGAACAGACACACTGAAAACAGTCAGCAGTACTTTAGATTTTTTAAAAAATATGTTACCTGGTGTTGTAGATTTGTTCTTAGGTTGAGATTGCAGACAAATTTCTCTGTTTAATTCCTCCTTGGGCCGAACTGTCCGGGATACGGTTGACCTCTCAGTTGATTTTGCCACCTCTGTCTTAAGAGGACTAACAGAGGTTTTTTGAAGCAGTTGAGGATTTTGTACCTCACGATTTTTAGCACTGGTGATGGATGTAGTAGAAGATTTCACTGGGGAAGAAGCAGCTTTCTGAAACATGATAACACTTAGGGTAAATAACAACATTCACAATATCTAAAGGTAGCTCTATAAAAAGCACTCAAATCCTATAAAAAAACAACTCAAATCCTATATGCTCGGTAGCCTTTATGTAAACTCATGAAAAAAAGTTTCTTACTCTCTAATAGATCAAACCAATTTGAAAGGTTTGAAAAAAATGAACTTAGAAAATGCCATTATTCAAATTATAATATGTAGCTTAGTCCGCATAATATACTGATGGGTAATTTACTACAAGGGATAGGGTCACTCACTATTTTAAAAAACAATTTCTTTTATATTATCACACTAGTACCTTTATAAATGTTAACTGTATTAGGTCAAATTACCTATATATTTGCATTTTAACTAAATCGATAGTAACTTGACAAAATTGTATCATGTACTTGAAGGTGAACTATAAGTTATTAAGTACTTACTATGTGCCAAGCACCATACTAAGTGCTTTATGCACATTATCTCATTTAATCCTCCCAAACCCTTTCTTTCCCAATTTACAAATGGAAAAATAAAGTTTTGCAAGATTAAGTAACTCTCCAAAGCCACACTTCTAATTATGTGGAAGGGCTGGGATTGAATGCAGGTCTAATTCCAAAACCTGGCTCTACATTTAAAGATAACGCTCAGAAACACAACATTTTTTTCTGTTTTGGTTTTTTCATATTTTTTTAAAAAACGTTGAGATAACACATGGGCAAGGTAATCTTTCAAACATTTCAAAACAATATACAGTAAAGGTATCATGCCCACCCTTGACAATTGCCTTCTAGAGGTAACTACTGCTACTAGTTTTCAGAGATATTTGATGTCTTTCTTGTATTTATACACATACATAGAGCATTCTAATAGAGAAAGTAGTTTTCAGGCTCTCCCTGATGACTAAGAAGAGGTTCCACCATTCCATAGTATATACTTTGGAGTTACATTAAATTAGTGTAATTTAGTTGTCAATCGCTTATTTATCTTGGGACAGAATACCAAATTTATGATTTTTACTTTCTATGAAATACTCTAAAAATACATATAAACATCCTATATATGTTATAAAATGCATACCTACACATATATATAAATTATTACTCATAACAACAAAAAAAGTTTCCAAAGACCAAAATTATATATACTTACCCCAGAGCTGGAAATTGTAACATTAATCAAAGATGCACCCACAGCACTCGAGGATGAGGCTTTATTCAAAGAGGCATCGCCATCCCTTTGGGAACAGCATGTAGCTTCCTGCTTAACACTGCTGCTATTGATCCTAGCAGATGCTCCACTTGCAGAGGAAAATTTGGATAAACAAGTGGTACCAGGCTGTTCTTGTACACTGTTTTGCTTTGCAGATGAGTTTTTTACATCATCTTCCCAGGAGCAAATAGTTGCAGCAAGGTTGGCTAGACGGCCCTTTCTCCCAACTGGAGTTGCTGAGGCATCTGAAAGGGATGGTTTGGGAGGGGAGGTAGCCTCTGACGGCATTGCTGAGATGGGTGAGCTTTCGTGTATATCATCTGAAAATGTTTTAGAAGTTAAAATTCATGAGTTATATATGTGTGTAATAAAGGGATCACTCAAAAAAAAAAAAAAAAAGCTTTTCTCATATGCATGAAACTACCAAACTGCTTAAATTTGACAATATATTTTCAAATCAGATACTTAATCCAAAAAAGAAAAAAAAGAACACTGTTACACCTATTTTTTTCAATTATTTGATGGATTATGAATCTATAAGACACCATAGATTTAGGTTATATTTTTAGGATTAATTTATGATGTTATAACACTGCACAACTTAAGATTACATATTCAACGTATTTGTTTTAAAACTGTATTAGACCAGTGCTGTACAACAGAACTTTCTGCAATGACAGAGATGTTCTATATCCATGGTGTCTAATACAGTAACAACTAGCCACATATGGCTAGTGAGCATCTGAATTGTGGTAAGAGCAAATAAGAAACTTCATTTCATTTTAATTAATTTACACTTAAAAGCTACGTATTGCTAGCGGTTACGGTATTGGATAGCACAGGGTTAGACTAATATGTTTTTCTGCACAGTTACTTCATTTGGAGATAAATCTCAAATAAACAATACTTAACTTACGAAGGCCTGTATGCATAAAGAGTATATAGGGCAGTCAAAGTTCATGGCACTTCCTATTCCAAAAATTCAGTCAGTGGAACAGATAGCCCTCCTGCTGTCCAAGGCTTATAATTCTGCCTGAATTCTCAATTCTACTCCTCCAAAACCTTCTCAGGGATCTTGCTCCAAATAATCCCTTCTTCCTTTCTACAAACTTTTTTTCTACACATAAATATGCTCAAGTCTCTCTCATCTTCAAGCTAAACCCAAACATCCTCTCATCAATGTATACCCCCTTTTAGGTACTGTCCCTCTTTCCCTGCACTATATTCACTCACCACTCAACTCCCTTCAACCTGCCTTCTGCCTACACCACTGCCCTGAAGTTGCTTTTGCTATTTTCACCAGATGCCCACACACTTTGTGGGCCTTGTATTTCCACGTGACATCATCCTCTATTAGTTCTGTCTTTGCAGCCTGTCCTTCGTGGTCTCCTTCTAACTACCAGCTACCTCCATTTGACTATCCCACGGACACCCCAAATAATATACCTGAAGTTGAAACTGCCCCCAACACATTCCTCCACATCATGCCTCTTCCTCCCTTCTCCCTTACCATCCACCACCCAGTCATTAAGTCCCACAGATTCTATCTCCTAAATCTCTCAAACGCAGCCTCCTCTTCACTTTCACGGGCCTTCATCATTATGCCTGAATTACAGCATTGGCCTTCTAACTGGTGTTCCTGCTTGGAATCTCTGCCCTCGTCAATCCCTCATCAGTTCTGATGCCCAGAGTGATCTTTCTAAAATATTTGCCTACTTAAACTCTCTCAGTTCCTCTCCATCACCTCCTGGTTAAATTCCAAATGCTCTGGACCCTGCTGCCTTCTTCAAATTCATCTCTTGCTTTTCTACCACATGAACTATATACCAGAATACCTACTCTTTATACACACAGTATGCTCACGGTACCTCTGTGCTTTTCATCCGTTCTGTTGTTTTTGCCTAGAATACCTCCACTGTCTGAAGCCAGCTGCCCCTCAAAGTCCAGGTTAATTATCTCTGCCTCCTCTAGAAAAGATTTCCTGACCACCACCCTCCCTACAATACCTTTTTGCATACCTTCATCATTTTCTTTAGAATAAGCACTGTCCTCTAAGTAGACGACAGTTTTACTCTTATGTTTTAAGAATGGGCTTAATAGCTCTAGCTCCTCTAACTATTCTTTGTCAGAAAGAAAGGCTTCAGATAAATTATATTTTGGAATAATCCCTCAAACCTTTAATTGGCTATACCCACAGTCCTGTATAGTACTCACTAAATCATTCATCACACTTTATTCATAAGTTTCAATGCTTAAAATTAGACAGGCTATATGATGCCTTATGAGATTTATTTTCAAGGTCGAGGTAGACATTTGTTAACATTTGCTTTCAACATATTCGAAATCACTGCTGCAAAGCTTCCTTCTCTAGAATGTTTAGGGCCTTGGTTGTATTCTTGATCATGCACTAAATCACAATCCTCTTTCTTTTTTTTTAAAGGAAAATCTCCAGTCCTCTGCCCATAGATATTTCCTACAAAACAGAAATGGAACGTTCTTCTATTCAGGCATATTTACTGGTTAGCCTCCTCAGACATTATAAAGAAGCATGGTTAACCCCACCGACCACTAAAATAAATAGTTATAATTTACAACGTGGACTATCAGCACCCTGTTAACACGTCCCAAAACATCAGGCAGGTCATAAAAGTTGAGCCCTGGAGTCAGACAACTGGGGTTTGCATTTTAGCTTCTGCTGACTGTGGGCAGGCGCCTTAGTCTCTCTGAACCCAGTCTTCTCTTCTACAACATGAAGAAAAAGTAGTATGTATGTCATAAGACTGTTGTAAGAATTAAATGTTATATTACATTAGAATTTTTGTTTGTTTGTTTTTTGTGGTACGAGGGCCTCTCACTGTTGTGGCCTCTCCAGAAAAGATTTCCTACGGAGCACAGGCTCCGAACGTTCAGGCTCAGCGGCCATGACTCATGGGCCCAGCCGCTCCGCGGCATGTGGGATCTTCCTGGACTGGGGCACGAACCCATGTCCCCTGCATCGGCAGGCGGACTCTCAACCACTGTGCCACCAGGGAAGCCCTACATTAGTATTTTAAAATATTTAGAACGCCTAGCATTTCACACAGTAAGTGTTTGCTCTTGAGATTATCATCACTGCCAGAAGGGATCATCTTAAATGTTTTTCTATCCAATACTTATCAAAATTTCAGTTAAAAGAATTGATATTTATGGAAGACTGCCTGAAATATATGCAGCCCATCCATTTCCTCAGATCACTTGGTCTTAATTCTGGCTATGTGTCAGAATTACCTACAGAGCTTGAAAAAAAGAGAAAGGAAGGAAGGAAGGAAGGAAGGGAGGGAGGGAGGGAGGGAGGGAGGAGAGAGGAAGGAAGAAAGGAAGGAAGGAAGGAAGGGATAAAAAGCACACCCCAGGGCTCCACCGCACTCCTGAGATTCCAGTCCAGTGGTCTGAATGATTCTGATCCATAGGAGCTGAGCTGAAAGCCAAAGGTTGGCTTCCTCAGGTAAGGCCCAGTCATCACTGAGCTGTCTACCTGCACTGTGCTGGCTCACTTTAGAATTGCATTTACTGAAATGAGCCTGGAGCCAGCTATCTGCCTACCTTGAGAAACCTTACACCTTCACTAGCTCCCACAGTTATCTTTAGGACCCAGGGAAGAAAGTTCTCTTAGGTCTTAGTGCCAACCACGGCTCTGTTGTTTTGTTTCTTAATAAACATTAGTCATGTAATTGATAGCATTTCACCTCTCTGCACTGGCTGCTAGCAAGTTCAGAACCATCTCTAGCAAGTGAGGAGGACCTTAAGGCCTGTATTTAATAAACTAACTTTACCCTTCACTTTGTTTGTCCTTCTCTTCACCTTGATTTCTTCATTTTTCCCATTTTTAATATAGGTATTTTTGTAAGTCATCCCAAGGTTTTTTTTGTAATGAGGTAGGAGATAAGCTCTCCATCAGATTATGGACCCATGAAAGGCAAAGATCAGGTCACTTTATCTGTCTCTGGCATCTTAGCATGAAAACATGCTTTGCAGGTGCTCAAGAAATGTTTTCTGAAGTTTTCCTGCTCCCCTATTGAACAGCATTGCATACCTCAGTCACTCAAGTTTATTTAATTAGTGAATCCATGAAACAGGATTTCTTGAATACAGAGCTGAAGGGCAGCAATGCTGATAATGCCAAGAGTATAGTTTATTCTCTCCTGTTTTTATTGCAAATATAAGATGGTTCCGTTACAAGATCAGGGTTTTGTGAACCAGTCTAAGAACCTCATCATCATCTACTTCGATGAGAACACAACCAACTGATAAATATATATTGATATACAAACCATTTGTGAGCAATGGATACTCAGGATATAGATCAAAAGCGTTGACCTTTCATGTGTTAACTGATACATAAAATTTTCAACATACCAAGTTGAATCGTACAGACACAGATTTAAGGACCACACCATTCACATAGTTTATACCTGTCACATCATCATTATCCCAGTGACGCCGCTGCTCAGCCAGCTTTTGCATTCGTGTTTTGACTGAGGAGGCTGCAGTTCCTTCCAATCTTGAGTTTAGCCCTCTCCTCACTCCCAGCAGCGATGCCGGGGCGGCCACAGAATCACTGACACCAGCTGGCGCTTGTGGCTGTGCCTGAGGAGACATAGGACTTGGAGAACAAGGTTTTGCAGAAGCTGACTCAACCGGTTTTTCATTTTCCAAGTTAGAAACTTCTACTTCAGTGTTGTCAGAACAGCGTTTTTTTGATGGTGATGGTTTTGTGCAAGATTTCTCTAGATTAAAAATGACAAAAAAATAAAAAATAAAAATTCTGTAATTCCTCACAGCATGAAAAACTTACAGTAGGTACAAATTAATAAAACACCATCTCTCTGTTCCTTTAAATGATTTTACTCACAACAAGAAATACGTAAAATTCTACTTTCTTTCGGTAACTTAGAAATCTGATATAAGAGATTTAAACTAACATGTAATTTATGGTTTAAAAAAACCTTAATGAAAAAAATCTTCAAATAACATCCTCAAGAGATATGCATAATATTCTATGTGGTCTTAAGACACTAGGAAATAAAAAGTGCACACACACAGAAGAAGCAAATATTCTAAGGGATTTTAAAGATCATACAGCTCAATCACCACATTTTTAAATAAGAAAAATCAGGCCCAGAGAAATCAAGTTACCTGCTTAAAGTGACATAGCTGAGCTAAGGGTAGACACAAGCTTTCTGCTTTTAAAAACAATCTTTCATGAACAATAGTAAACAAGGGTAGAAGGGCACCTGGCTTGAGGTTTAGGAGGCAGAGAACCAAAAAGTGACTGAATTATCTGGTCAATACCAAACAAATTCACTGGCACAAGCGTTTAACAACATTTTACATTTTAAACTTCCACGAACACCTATAAAATAAATTTATAAGTCCTAAAAGAAAAAGGAGCTATTCAAACACAAGGCATATAATTTTTACCCAAGAATGAGTTTTAATATATCTCCTGGAAAACTAATACTTTAAAAGGTAGGAATGTAAATTCCATAAGAGGTCAGTTTCATTGGCTGTCTAACCAAGTGTTCTTGTTCTGGTAGTAACCGAAGTATGATTAATGGGAAGTCGCGATTGCCCTCATAAACATCAATCTAATTAAATGTACATCATGAAACTTTCCAGTCTTCTGCAACTCATTTAAGGGTATATTTTCAACAAACTTATCTAATCATTTTTTGGACGTGTTCCTATTTAACATGCTTCACTATCTGGAAGTAAAGAATTCTTCCAGTTTACATTACTTATAACAGTAAATCTTTCCATTTAAGCACCAAAACACAGTTCCAACCACTAGTTTTCAAGTACATAGTACTCAATACTTGATTGCATAAACCCATGCCACAATGAAGAGATCCTGGACTGGAGCCAGGCCTCTGCTTCCTATGTAATATATATGGTATTTCCTCCCTTCAAAATGTATTAACACACAAAAATAAACTCTCCTTCTATGGTTAGCTCACAAAAGAGATGTGCCCTCATCTCTTTTGTAATATTGTTTTTGTCCCCCATAATACTCTTTTTCTATATGTATTTTAAATTTATACTAAGGGAAATGATCATCTCCAGATTATTCCAAATGCTAGGAAAAGATTAAGCCAGCTGACTGACGTAGGCTGAGGATGCCAGGATTTAGGAAAGAATCAGACAAGCTTCCAGGTGTGTGTGGATTGTTGGGGGTAGGGATGGGGGGGTTGCTTAATTTTGTTTCTGTTTAATTTCACCAGTTCTGTAAATTAACAACCTGTACTTTGTGCCCAGCCTGAGAGAGATGGTTCAGCA